TGGGAGGGGGCGGCAGTGGGAGGCTCCCGCCTTCTGCTCTGCAGGTCACCTGAGCCCTGCCTCTCTCCCCACACACTGGACAGCGGGGGAAACTGAGGCTCAGCGGGAGAAGGGACTGTCCAGCAGCGACGGGTGGCGCTTTCCACTCCCTTTTACAGGTGGCCTGAGCCCACCCGGTGACCCCCCAGAGGGAGCGTGTCCGCAGTAGGAGGTCCTAGGAAGGGAGTGCTACTAGAAATCTGGGCCAGGGGGCCTGGGGTCTGGTGGACAGGAAGGAGCGCAGTGCTTGGAGGGTGAGTGTGACCCCTCTGGGGTTGTCAAGCAGCGCCCAGTCACCCGCTAAGGGCTTCCCGATCCATTCACTGGCTGAGGCGGGAATAGGGCGCGCCCAGGACAGTGCTGGGTATCCCTCTGCCACCCACCCCTTCCACAGGTGGCTCCGGGCCTTCCTCCAATTCCAGTTCTGCTCATCCGCGTCCCCTTCCTTGGTCCCCTTCCTTGGTCCCTTTCCCCCTCCCTCTTCCCCTGCCCCTCCCCCCACTTCCCGGTGCCTTCACCCTCCCCCTCCCCCGCCCCTTCCTCTTCCCTGGTCTCTTTCCCGGGCTCGGTCCTCGGTGCACCCTCTGGCGGCCGGAGCCTGCACTGCGCCCTTCTGCCCGCCCGCGGGGCCGCAGTGAGTCCACCCGTCCGGTCCCGGAGGCGGCGGTCAGTCCCGGGCCCTGCCCCTGTCAGCCTGGCCGAGGTGGGGCTCTCGGGGGATTCACTCACATGGTCCCGGGAGCGGGCTTCCGCCCCTCCCCGCCAGCTGCTCGGCCCTGCCTTAGGCCCTGGCCCCCGCCCCTCACTTGAATCTTGGGGTTCCTCTCCTCTCACAGGCAAATCTGCGAGATGTCCTGGGGCTGGGGAAGGGGAGCCCCTCTTGGGGCAGGAGCTGGCACCGGGGTCCCGCAGAGCCGTGCAGCAGCGCATCCCCAGCGGGGCCCCGGGGTGACCCTGTGCCCTCTGGGCCACTGGGAGCTGAAAAGTGAGCGTCCCTGCACCGCGCCGAGGACCCAGTGGTGCCTGATTGAGATGGGGCTGTGTCTGGATTCAATGCACCGTTCTTCTGACTCAGAAAGCCTTGGGGTGAATCCCAGCTGCACCGCTCAAGAGCCGTGAACGTGGATGAGTGGGTAGACCTCTCTGAGCTTGTTCTCGGCTTGTTTATCTTATTCATTTGTTCACAGCGCTGTTGGGAGATCAGAGCGGAATTCACCCAGTATTTGCTGAGCGTCTGCTCGGTGCCCGTCTCCGGGCCAGGGCCTGGGAGTCAGCCTGGAACCAGACCACACGCTTCCTGCCCCCGAGCTGCCCCTGCCGGGAAGCAGAAGGACAGAACGCAGTGAGCGGGGACTGGGGGAGAGTGGTGCTGTCCTGTCCGGCGGCAGGAGCAGAGGCCGGCCGCCCCGGTGCGTGTTAGGAAGCCCAGTGCCACTGCCTGCCGACGGCTCTGTCTTTGTCGTGCTGGTCCCCAGTTTTTGGATCCCATCAGTGATGACGTGTGTGAGCAGTTACTTAGACTACACTCAGTTATGTCCACCAAGATGCCTCGTGAAACAAGTGGCCCTTTAGTGGGTTACGTTTAACCAAATGCTGTGAGGTGGAGGAAGGGACATAGCACTTCCAAGGGGGTTTCCATAAAAAGGGGCATTGTTGGATGTGGTAGGAGCCCTCGGGGCCCCCACCCAATTCCATCCCCCCCCCCC